CTGAAAGGAAACTCACATCAATTAGTAAGCAATATTCTTGCCATGCATTCCCTTTGGAAAGGAGAAGCTAACGTCTTTTAAACCAACGGGCATCTCCTAAGATCTCTAATCATTAAGAAATTCATTATTTATTTGAAATTAAGGCTCTTTGGGATCTCAAGCATGAGAAGGCTTATCTTCAAAGTGGTTTTGTGAGAGACTGGAGCTTGGAGAGCGCAAGTAAGGAAAGCTTTCTGTAGTTGGTGATTTATGGACTTTGACCTGAGAGTTAAGTGTCCTTTTAACAAAGAGCACCGCTTTGGACTGAAGATCACGCAAGTGGATTCTTCCAGAGCTGTTCTTTAACGATAAAACCAAAGAGCTCCAAACTGTTCACAGATCTCAGTACAACTACCCAGGGCTTCCATCTGGTAAATACCAGGATGAGAATTAGGTTCCAATTTCAACTTTCTCAAAAGAAACCAATACGTATGACAACAGTCTGGAACAAGGGGTGCATTGTGGGGTGACCTGGGGGAGGGAAGAAGTGAGGGGGTAAGACATTGTGCAACAATGGAAAACAATTACAACATTTTCAGTATTTAAAAAAGAAACACGCAGAAGGAACAGAAGCACTTTGAGCTGGAATTTATCTTCTTGGTTGCGCGCTAAGAGAAAGCCCTTTTTCACAGGAGCTTGGTGGTAAATCCTACTGTTTCTGTCGCCTGGTTATGTAACCTCCTACAGTTTCTTTAAGACTTAGACCCTTGGTTTTCTCATCTGAAAATACTATGAATAGTAAATATGATTCTCCTATGAATGTTGTGCCGATTAAATAGGACAGAATATATTATACAGTATGTGATAGTGTCTGGCATTTAGATAATACTCATTCTATTATTTATTTGAAGATATTTGTTGAAGAAATATTTTGTCCACTATTCATTTATTCTGTGTCAAATATATGTTCTTTCCCTAGTTGTTCCCACCATTCTCTCCTTGTGGGATGGTCATGTTCCCACTTTTCTCTTTAACCCTTCTCCCTCCACCTCTTCTTTCAAAGCTCACACCCTTCATCATCCTCCATCACGGCACCCCCAATCTCCAGAGCCAATCTTCACTCGCTGCAAACTTAAAAGTTATTGTTATTTGCCATTATGTGCCATTGAGTAGGAGCTGACCCTCGGGCAGGTTTTCAGAGTCAGTCAAGCACATGGGAAGAGACTGCCCATCTTTCTCTCAGGGAGCTCCTAACAGATTCTAACTGCCTACCTTTGACTTAGAGGTGCAGCTCCTCACCACTAAACCACCAGAGCTCCCTAAACTGAAAAGAGACCCGTGCAAGTGATCTGTGACCCGGTATTTCATTTGACCACTTACTTCTCCACACAAACTCAAACGTGTCTCTCCTATCAAGTCTGTTCTTCCCTTTCTTTTGGAGACCATCTTTTCATCTGCCTTCTGGTTTTGGTTGCAGCTTCCAAGTCTGTTTCTCCCACTAGATGGGAAACTTCTGGAGGTTTTGTTATTACCATTTAAATGGAAGTTCACAGAAAGCTTGGGTTTTCATTCATTCATTGTTGCACATGTTCTTTTCTTTCTCCCTCCCCCAGTCCTCTTTGTAATGCATCTCTTGTGCCAGATTGTTAATTGTCATACATATAATACCTGATTATACATTCCTTTCAGACAGTTCTAGTACAGTGTTCATTATCTATCCACTCTTCTCCTGTTCTCCCCACTCTTTGTTAGTTCTATTTTATAACAGTAGTATTATGCATTATTTGTCCTTTTGTGACTGAGATATTTCACTCAGCATAATGTCTTCCAGACTTAACCATCTTGTGTAGTGTTTTACAAGTTTGTTATTTTTCAGTGTCACCTAATATTCCATTGTGTGAGCGTACCACAGTTTTTCTAACCTTTTTTTTATGTCAATGGTAAACTTCTTAAAGAAAGGAACTGGGCCCTCCTTCTGTAGCTCTCAAAGCTCTGGTCAGCCCTTTACACATGGTGGAAATATCACTTATGGCCCAAGCAGGAGACAACAGTCATGTGACCATCTCAAGTTAATAGTTGATAATGTGTTAAAATGTCAATGTGATCATCTCAGGTTAATAGCCAGAGGGTTAGCAATAGGTTGGTTCCAACTCTGCAGTACACCACAACAGTCTCAAGGTGGAGGTTTAATATAAAGAGTTATTGAATCATAAGAGTGGAATAGCTGTAAAGATGTCAAGAAAATACTAACGGACACCCTGATGCTGGAGGACTAACGTGAAAGGGGTCCATCCCCATGTGTGGGGTTCAGATTTCCTTGTGAAAGTGTGGTTGTAACCCACTGGAGAGTAGGGAGGAAACTTCTCCAGATTCCTGAGCCCAGAGGCCAGTCCAGTCCCCAAACAGCAGAAGTCAAGCCTGGGGGCTGGAGGGCAGGTGTGCAGAGGGCACTGGGGCACCAGTGGTAAAGCAGGCACGCATGGTGCCCACGTCAGGAGGGCCATGATGATGTGGTTATTGGGTTTAGACCAGCGCTGCCAGACCCCCAAGGCACTGTGACATATTGCTGGGACAAAGTGCTGTTGGACAAGAGCAAGGAAAAGCAAAGCACAGCACCCCAGAACCAGGAGGAGACACCCCCTTCTTCCTGCTGAGTTCCTCCAGCGCCCTCTACTGACGAGGCTTGGCATCGTGCTTACTGTGAAAGAGAAATGGCCCCTTTATCTCAGAGCAGAAGCAAGTCAGAGAATTCAGAGCTGAGAGGCAAGAATTTGCTAATTGGTATAATGGATGATCAAGAATATTTGAACGAACTACATTAGGAAAAGCCCACACAGTTTGGTCATTAACTCCCTTTAAAAACAAAGCCGGGAAAAAAAATTTTTAAAAAAAGCCGGCCTGATTCATTGCCATCTAGTCAATTCCAACTGATAGCAGCTTTTTTTTTACATTTACAGAGTAAATATATCCCATAGGATTTCCAAGGCTGTAACTGTTACAGACAGACGCCACCTACCACATTTTCTCGCACAGAGCAGCTGATTGATAGCTTCAAACTTCCAGCCTTTTGGTTGGCACCCCAGTGCTTCACTCCTGGTGCCACTAGGCCTGTTATCATCCCTGCCTATTTGCCCTTTCAACAATCTACTTCCCTCCCCTCGAATCCTATCATTTTTACCCTCCGCAAACGCTCCTGACTCCTCTGGTAATTTATGCTGTCGACTCTCATTTTCTTCAGGGATAGACTCAGTTTTGCTTTGTTTCCTTAATATGACCTGCTTCTTCCCTCTGTGTGTTGGTACACCATTAAAAGTTGTTGTCGTACCATCAGAACCGGCTCATGGCTGACGCTCCAGTATGTTTTCAGAGCCACCCAATCACGTGGGAGGAGATTCCCATGTGTCTTCCACAGAGCACCTGGTGGATTTGAATAGTGCACCTTTGGGTCAGCAGCACAGTTCCCTACAACTCAGCCACCAGAGCTTGCTACTCTTAAAAGAGACTTCTGCGAGCCATCCAAGCCCCACTATTTCATTTCACAGTTTCCTTCTCCACTCAAGCTTGCAGGAGAAGGACGGGCAATCCCCACCCATGAGGTTTGCTGCCTCTGAAGGTCAGCTGTGAGTCCGTCCTGACTCAAAGGCACACAAACTCAGACAACAACAAACTCAGACTTGACTGTGTTTCCCCCTCCTCCCCTCTGCTTCACTTCTAAGCCAGCCACCTGTCCCTCCCAAGCCCTCTCGGAGTGTGCCCACGCATTTACTCTTAAGTGGCAGTGGAAAGAATTGGAGCTGACCCAAGAATCCATCTGTCTCTTTCTTCCTTTATGGAAAATGCAGTGGCCACAGCAGGGCTGCCTGGGCATCCATCTCCTCAGACAAAGCTGGTGAGGCCAGTCTCTAAACATGTGAGGAAAACAGCGAACTTGGAGGATAATTATCAGCACACATATCATTCAGGAAAGTGCTGATAGTTTCTACTTGAGACCCAGACAAGGCAGGAAGGGCTCTGTCAATGCGCTCCTGAGGGAGAGTGCAGGATACTACGCACCAGATCCGAGTTGGGGCCCTGTTCTTAGGCTTCAGCCTCCCTAGTCATTCTATACAGAAAGTCAGATTTAATTAGTGTTAACTGATGGTCCCCCTGCAGGAGCTTGGGGCACAGTGAGTCATGGAAACAGTTAAAACTTCCCCAAGGACAAAATGGTTTTTTAAGACTTCATCTGCTGCAGAAGGACAGGGGAGACTGTCTCTGGCGGCTGGGGGAGGAGAAGGGGAAATGGCAATGGGTAAAACTGGAGTAACTTCAGCTTTCCACCAGAATTTATAGCTTACACGGTTTTTGCAAGCGATGAACATTCCGGGCCAGCAGAATCTCGAATAGCCTGACAAGACCCGTAGCAGCATCCTTCCAAACTGTGCCTTGTGATTCCTCTGTGTGTCAAGGGATCAGGCTCTTAAAGGGTCAAGCATAACACCCTTGTTTCTCTCTGGGAGCTGAGATGGGGGTAACTGTTACTTTCTTTTCGTTTACCTGTATTTCCTGCCTTGAGTGTGTGCTATTTGTGAAATCAAGCTCTGTGAAGTTTGTTTCAAGTCCAAAACCGGAAGAATGTGTCTCTTCCTGCTTTTTAGTCTCATCTCTTTCCAGCCCCTCCCCAGCCTCTCCGCTCCCCTTGGTGGGATAAACTGCCAAAACCCATCAGACTTCATTCGGAGAAGAGATTTTTGGAAGCAGTTTTATGTCCTCACTCTCGACTTTCTAAAAACAGCCCCCATTCTCTTCTGCTCCTCGCCAGCCTGCCTCTGAAGTGACAAAACCTCAGTGATGAAGAGAAGCCTTTTCTAATTCTAGCACATTCTGAGGCAGGCAGGAAGCCCTGGCCAGGGCCACGGAGCCATGGGAGGTGCTGTGTGGGGCGCTCTTCTGCCTCGTATACCTCTGTGCCGACCCCAAGGGCACTTGAGAGGGTTCCACCTGGCGTCACTAACCTTTTATGTGTTGCTCTGCTCTTTCAGATTTTCGACAACGAAGCCAAAGACATAGAGAGAGAAGTTTGCTTTATTGATATTGCCTGCGATGAAATTCCAGAACGTTACTACAAGGAATCTGAGGTAAGCGGGAGACGGGGTGGTATTTCGTGTTCCTTCTGCCTGGAACACCAGCTTTGACCACTTTTCATTCTGCAGGTCTCAATGTAGCTGTCATTTCTTCCAGAACATCTTTCCTGACCCTAGACTCATAAATTCTGTCTCCCTCTCACAGAGTCTCCTTTGTACATTTCCTTCCAGCACTTTTAACTCCCTCTTTATTGAAGTGATTATTTCTTGACTGTTTACCTCTCTTGCAAGATTAGAAGTTTCTTGACTGGAGGAAGGGACCCTCAGGGGGCCTTTTGCTCACTGATAGGTCCCCACCCTAGATCTTAGGTGACATGTAACCAAAACAGCAAAGCCACTGATGTCAAGTGGATTCCAACTCGTGGTAACTCTCCTTTGCGTTATGGAGGCTGTAGAATGCAGGGAAGAAGCTGTCCACCCTTCTCCACCTGGTGGGCTCACACCATGGTGGTTCAACACATAAGGCACTGTGCCACCAGGGCTCCCATATGACAGGGATAAGTTGAAAATATCAATTGGATGAATGACTGACTATTCACCTCTCATTTTGCTGCTTCCTTTATGCCCCAGGGAAAGAGTAACAACGCTACCCAGGCCTGGTTCGGTAAAGCTGGGAGAGAAGGCCCCTCATGTCAATTACTTCCCCTTTCTCTGTGGGAATTTCTCATTTGGGCACAGGAGTAGGGTTGACTGTACTCTCCACAGAAGCAGGTCATCAGGCCTGAGTCTTCTGTGATGCTGCTGGATGGATTCGGACCAGCGACCATTCCGTTCCCAGCCAGTTACAGACCGTGTGTGCTGCTCAGAGACCTTCCTCAGATGGAAATGTAAAGACGCTTTCTGGTGGCGGTGACTCTTGGGAGTCACAGAGAAGTGAGTCACGCACTGCCTTTGGGTTTCTTCATTGTTGTTTGGTACCACTGAGTTGCCTACAACCCTTAGCAAGCCTGTGAAAACAGAGCTGAAGCCTGCCCTGTCCTGTACTCGCTTTATCGTCTCTGATATGCTCGAGCCCATTGGGAATCACTGTGTCGGTCCATTTCATTGAGGGTCTTCCTCTCTTCCTCTGACCCTCCATCTCTTCCAGCATGATGTCTGTTTCCAAAGACTGAGCCCTCCGGGCACCATGCTCCAAGGATGGAAGGCCAGGATACCCCTCTCTTGCCTCTAAGCAGCACCTTCTCGAGACACACCTGTGCGTTCTTTCGGCGGTCCGTGGAATAGTCGGTCCTCTTCTAACACCACAACTCACAGGCTCTTCTTCTGTCATCCTTTCCCATTGTTTCTTCATTGTTGTTGTTTGGGGAGCTGTTAAGTGAGTTGACAATGACTCATAATGACTTGACCCCATGGCCACAGTCTCTCTGCAAATCCATCCCATCCAGGGTCGTCTTCTTCTGCGCTGACCCTCTACCCTTCCAAGCATGATGGCCTTCTCTAAGGACTGGTCCCTCCTGGCAACATGCCCAAAGCATATGAGACAGAGCTTCTGAATCCTTGCCCCCAAGGAGAAGGCTTCCCCTTCTCCAGGACAGACCTGTTTGTTCCTTTGGCAATCCATGGTATGTTTCCATAGTCTTCTTCAACACCACAACTCAAAGGCATCAGTTCTTCTTTCATCCTTATTCATTGTCCAGCTCTCAGATGCACAGCAAGCCATGGGAAGACCATGCCTGGATCAGGCTCCCCTTCATCTCTAAACTAATATCCTTACTCTTTAGCTCTCTGGAGAGGTCCCTGACAGCAGATTTTCCCAGGGCATTTATGTCCCATGACTTTCCTCCAAACTAGGAAAATCTTCCTGAGGGCCAGGCAGCACCGAGCCTTGGCACTCCGAAAGGAAGAGCTGGAATGAGTTGAGAATTCTCCAGTGGCATTACCTTCCCAGAAGGTCTCCCATTCATAGGCCCAAAATGTTCAAAGGACACAGAGCTCCTTAGAGTGAGACAGGGGTGTCCACAGGCCTCAGGTCTAGTCTGTCCGTCAGCAGGTTCACAGTGTACAGAGACAGGGGTGTCCACAGGCCTCGGGTGTAGTCTGTCCGTCAGCAGGTTCATGGTGTACAGAGACAGGGGCGTCCACAGGCCTCGGGTGTAGTCTGTCCGTCAGC